AAGCCTGAATGCTTTGATACTTGGTGTATATGTACCTTGGGTAGATCTCTCTCAGATTTGTTCATTTCATGATCATATCTTCAATTCTCTAATTTTGGTGAATATTTTTGTCATTTTTAGGTAAAAAGTGATATTTTCGACTTCTTGTTAAAAACCGCAAGTCCAATTGCTTTGATATTACATATATATGTACTACATGTGGACCTCTCTCAGATTTGTTCATTTTGTAATGATATCTTTAATTCTCTAATTTTGGTGAATATTTTTGTCATTTTTGGTAAAAAGTGATATTTTCGACTTCTTGTTGAAAACCGCAAGTCCAATTGCTTTGATATTACATATATAGGTACTACATGTGGAACTCTCTCAGATTTGTTCATTTTGTAATGATATCTTCAATTCTCTAATTTGGGTGAATATTTTTGTCATTTTTGGTAAAAAGTGATATTTTCGACTTCTTGTTAAAAACCACAAGTCCAATTGCTTTGATATTACGTATAAAGGTACTACATGTGGACCACTCTCAAATTTGTTCATTTTGTAATGATATCGTCAATTCTCTAATTTTGGTGAATATTTTTGTAATTTTTTGTAAAAAGTGATATTTTCTTGTTAAAAACCACAATCATTTATGATGAAAAATGATATTTTTGAATTCTTGTTGAAAACAGCAAGTCCCATTGCATTGATACACTAGGCATATTGTTCATTTTCTAATGATATCTTCTGTTCTTTAATTGAAATGTGCAGTGCTAACAGCGGAGCTATCTCAGCCGAGAGGCTGCTTGTTTGAAAATAAACTGATAAATAAAAACAGCTTAGACCATAGCCTGATAAATTTGATTGTACAATTTTTCCCACCAAAATGTTTGCGCTACATTTTGCAATTTTTTTTGCATTTTGCTGTAGTTTCTTTAATTTTTGAACAAATGGACATAGTTTGAACTGGTTACTCATAATCACAATTTTTGAAACAAATGAGAATAAAATGTTGAAGGTTTATTTTGTGATAATACTTTAGGTTAATGTTTCTAAAAGTGGTGATAATGTATTCAGTTAACGTATTTTTAGTTTGTTACCACTCGTCATGCACGATTATCGTAATTTCTGGCATATGTAGTTGTGTGGGCAGTAAAATCTCACTAACACAATCTGTGACTACTGATGGAACTAAGCTTGATGACAATTTATGATATTTTTCATGACAAACGAAAGAGAAAATGTGTGATGATTATACATTGATTTAAAGTCATTTTATGGACTGTCGCTATCAACTGACTACTTAGTGTAGTCTATAAAAAAAATATCAAATGTCCAAACCTCAATGTGTTTTACTTTAAAAAAAGTGTTGATCATGAGCATTGTGTTGCACAGTTTTCATCATTATTCAGTCTTCTCACCCCTATTTTAGAATGGTATAAACTAATTTTGTAGAGAACCTGTTACTCACAAAAGAATCATGATGAAAACAAATCAGAATTATTTGTTGAAATTTTACAAAGGTCAGATCACAACCCCATCCTTGATGTGGGATTAAGGAGTTGTGAAATATGGAAAGAAAGAAATGTAAAAATGCACTGATGACAAAGCAGTGGTTGCTGTGGCAACAGTAATTACCTAAAATGCAGCCAAGTAGCAAGATGAAATTTGAGGCTTAATGGCATTAAATAGTAGGGGGGTTTGAGTCAGTTAGGACTAGACGCATGGTTATACAGATGAAAATGCTGATTATAGCACCGTTCAACAAATGTCAGATTCAACATGCTGCACCATATGCATCAATAAAGCAGACTATGTACATAGTTCTTGTTGCTTCTAGTCACCCGGGAAACGCCCCACCCCCTCTTTGCTTTGAAATGAACAAAGAGAGATGTACAAGAAGGATCCCCATGGGGGATGAAGGGGACATATGTTATCTCTCATTTTGGCTTTATTAGCACTGAATAATAGGTTGATGTGACTAGAGCTAATATCATACTCGGCTCTTCTATCGTATTATTTTTTGTAAAGCATTTAAAATCAGATGTTGGCTATAAAAATAAGAACCGTGATAGAGTTTGTCGAGTTAGATTGTGACAGATGAGGCCAAAAACAATGAAGCAGCCATGAATGTCTTCTCTGCCAACTCTCTATTAAACTTAAAGAGAATAGATGGCTGTTCAAATAATAAGAAATGATGCATTTTATTAATCTTGTCATGAAACCAACATGGTGTCTATTTTTTAAGATGATTAAATTTAGTAAATTTAATCCTATCTTAGCAACAGACTAATGCGATAATGGTCATAATGACTGTATTTACAGGCGATTTGAAACCTGAAATATACCGTGATGGCCCGATTTATCAGCGGCGAGGATCCCTGCAGTTGTGGCAGTTCCTGGTAGCGCTGCTGGAAGACCCCACAAATTCCAATTTTATTGCATGGACTGGCAGAGGGCTGGAATTCAAGTTGATTGAACCAGAAGAGGTATGTAGTAATATACAAAAAGTTATTGTTATTTTTCGCAAGGCATTTTCACATTTTCTGGAATTTTAAGTACAGTAAAAGACTAGATCATTGACAATATGCAAAGAACTGTACTTTTTGCATTTAAAGTTCAACTCTGAAATTTGAGTTGAATTATTAGTACGAAAATTTATCAATTTTGATTCTGTCTTTGAAATTTTATTTTTCGCTGATCACTGCAATTTGTTTATCCAAGTTTTACCAATTGCTATTATTCTAGGCAATTTGTACTTTAAATAGTTCCTGACAATGTACAATGATGTCATAATGGTTATGTGCTCACAATGTACAAGAATCCATGATGTCATAATGGTTATGTACTGACAATGTACAAGAATCAATGATGTCATAATGGTTATGTACTGACAATGTACAAGAATCAATGATGTCATAATGGTTGTGTACTGACAATGTACAAGAATCAATGATGTCATAATGGTTGTGTACTGACAATGTACAAGAATCAATGATGTCATAATGGTTGTGTACTGACAATGTACAAGAATCAATGATGTCATAATGGTTGTGTACTGACAATGTACAAGAATCAATGATGTCATAATGGTTATGTACTGACAATGTACAAGAATCAATGATGTCATAATGGTTATGTATACTGACAATGTACTATATTCAATGTTATAACAGTAATTTCCTAACAAAACACAAAATCCATACCAGCAATTCATTCATTTTTTTTATCAAAATTTGTATTCAATTCTTTCAATTTGTTTTTATTTCACCCTTTTTATATATATATAAAAAAACTTCATTGTTGAAATAAAAGGTGAACAATTTCGACAATTTGTGGTGATTATACAAATATAAAGAAGTTGCCCACAATGAGTCAAACATTCAAATAATGAAATTTTATTTTTGCTTTGTAGGTTGCCAGGAGATGGGGAATTCAGAAAAATAGGCCGGCAATGAATTACGACAAACTGTCGCGATCATTACGATACTATTATGAAAAAGGCATCATGCAGAAGGTAGCTGGTGAAAGGTACGTCTACAAGTTTGTGTGTGATCCAGAAGCACTCTTCACCATGGCTTTTCCAGATAATGCCAGACCAGTCCTGAAGACAGAGCACACTATGACCAGGTTACCAGAACATACCACTCCACTGCCTCCACCACGTCATCAAACCCCATCCGTCAAAGAAGAAGATACCGTTCCGTTGACCCACTTGGATGATGGTCTAGAACAGGCTCGGTTTGCACATGAAATGCAACAGATTTGTCCACAACCATATGTTGAAGGATGTGTGTATTAACTTAACTGGAATTTGTTTTATATTCACCCTTTTGTAACCTTGGTAACTGACATGTGTCTGTTGTTGCCTATAAAATGGTCATTGTTACCCATGGTGTGATATGGTTGGCATGGCAATATATACACAGAAAACTCGTGCTGCAGCTATCATTCTGGGCTTGCAAGCTGGAAACCTGATTCAATATCACTTTTGTCCCAGACTATTTTGAAATTTCAAAAAGGCACTTGGAGTGCATGGTTTCCTTCAATTTTCACATTAAAAATGTAGCACAACCTTGTGGTCAGTCAAATTGCTGGCATGTGATAAAGCAAACAGGTCCTATGTATGTCATGTGACTAGGTTATAGTCAATCTGGACCTGTGTGTCATGTGCCCAATTATAACCAATCAAAATTGTCCTATATAGGTCATGTGACCAAATATAGTCAATCAAACTTGTCCCTGTATAGTTTTCAGAAGTCCAACTTTGGGAGATTGTTTTTGTTCACTGTTATATATATATATATATAGTATAGATTCTGCTTTTTTGTGTGCAGGATACATTTGTTATATCTAACATCATAAATCAAACAGATTTAACACATCAAAATTTTCACTTTCTATCATGTTAATTACATTTTTGTCTAATATCCATTGCCAAATGACTAATATTTTTAATGATTTATTATTTCTGAAAAAATATGAGCTGTTATGTAAATGATGAGGGTCAAAATTCGGTAAAATTAATTGATATAATTAACAATCATGCAAGAGTTAATTACTGAATGTTAGTAACGAACTTTATATTTCAATAATTATCTATAAATGAGGATATTAAATGAGTAATCAATCAATATATTGAGTTATTAATTATGTTGAAGTAAGCCCAGTCAGACTGTGATGTGTAAGCCAATATACCGTATACGGTAACGATAGGAATGTTTTTGCTGATCACAACAAAATCCCCAGTATAAGCAATTTTTACATCCCCTGATTTTATAGCTGGCTTACCATGGTGATAATAAAGAGCTTATTTGAATCATTAAGCTGATGTTATTTGGGTTATCTGCATAATTGTTCGGTATGAGACCCTCATATGTTGAAAACTGTCATCAAAAATTAGATTTCTATATTTCATGATAAGCATGGCTTACTGAATGTCTCCACTGCCTTTGGTATTAATACAGATATATCTACAGAGTGTTTATATTTCAGTCTTATATAGATGGGGTTGGGGGGCAAAATCACAAAATTTAACATTTGTGTCATTTTTCACTACAATTTCAACCTGAAAGCAATTGCAAAATGAGTATTTGTATTCTTAGATGCAGTGTCGTACATTAGATTAATTTAAACTGTAGCTGTAACTTTTAACATTTTCCATGCATTAGAATACAGTTCTAATTTGCCTTATGTGTGACCCCTAAAAGGTTACACATCCTGGTATTTCTGGGGGAGGGGAGAAATGCCACTATTGAGAACTTTGGGATTTTTTTGGCTAAAAAATTACAAAAGTTATTGTCATTTAAAGTTAAACAATTATAACACCAGAGTACCAGGATTTCCAAAACTGGCATCAATAATGGCAGTCGCATTTGAAAACTTGAAAGATGCAGCTACGCTATTATGATGAAAATGATCAGTTATGTTACCATGGAAACTGATTACTTTTGCAAGTACACCACTTTTATACTGACTATGAAAAGAATTGGTGGTCAAATCAACTGATAATACAGACACTTTTTTGCATATTAATTCTGTATTTGCATAATCCACTTTTTTACTAGCCCACCAAGTGTGTAGAAAACCGCAGTAGATTTTTGTGGTTGAATTTATACTTTTTGTCAAACAACACAATTTTTTGATTTGTAAAATTCTATGCTTTCACACAATGCTCATTTGCGCCATTCCTATTGTCTTTATAAGGAGAGTTTACACACTGTTGGTCTTTTTGTTTTCAACACATGATAGATTTGATTTGATTGGCCGTTTCCCATACTGCTGGCACATGCTGCTTCACGTGTGTTGTCATTGCAAAGTCATAAAGTCAAATCTCTCATGTCTGCAAAACTAAAACATGTTTTTTTTTATTATTCTAAAAACTGTTTGAAACATTTACATGAAAAATACACAATATGAACAAAACTGCGGGAAAAGTTGTGGTTTTTGCCAACTTACAAAATATGACTGCCTGCTATATTACTTTACATTTGGTTGTTCATGGGTTCGGTCAAAATTGTTATACATATATATATATATAAAAAAAAAATTGTCCGAGCTATCACGTTTATTCTAGATTGTTTTGTGTGACACCGTATGACAGATATAGTTAGAACATTTATTGAGTTTTTGTTTTTTGCATCAAGCCTTTGTTTACCCATAATACTCTAATATTCTTGTATCACTTGATTCTTGGATTTCTTATTAATTGCTCACACCCTCCATCCCCCACAAAAGAAATCTATGTATTGTTTAATTGACCTATTATGATTTGACGTACTTTAATGTAACAAGATGACTTTAAGTGTAGTTTTGGCAGCATTTACGCTACCATATTTAACAGCAGAGATGTGTAATGTTCAGTAGATTTATAATCAGAACAAAATGGAGCACACTGAGAGAGGGAGTCACATGACATTAATCCCCCCCCCAAAAAAAAACCCTGGTTTATTATTTTGTAAGAATGCTGCAGGAGGTGTGTGAGTTGTATTTTCCCCTCACTTCTTTATATCACGGTAGTTTGAATTCCATTGATGTGGATTCTGTTGCTAGGATACCTGGAATCACTTTGCGTTGCATTCACTCAATTGGGCTGGTTAAAATCAGCAAAATTGTGATTGCATGGTTTCCTTGACAACAGAAAACTAAAGCTTTCTCTAATTTTCTATCTATCTGCCATCCCAGCTGTATCCCTCTTTTCCTGTACAAATCCAAGTTTGTTCCCTTGACAACAGACAGCCGATTTTTCAGATTTGTATTTTATCATAACCTTGCTATTTCAATAAATACTTTTGTAAATATAGAAGAAAATCTTGATTAATTTTTCCTGCAAGAACACAGGAGTATTTTAGTTCAGCTCTGCTGATGTCTCAAACACCTGGTAGATTTCTATGTATGGTACATAGATGATCTGGGATTATCTTATTAGTTTAGGTTTAAAATTCATGCATATTAATACTTGGGTTGCATAATAATTACTTAATTTTTAGCTGTTTCATTGTGATATAACCACTCAATGGATGGGTGTTCTGGACTAATTGATCTGGTAATATTTGTGCATATCAATGAGTAATTTGCAGAATATTTAAAGATTCTCTAGAAACAACCATTTCAGATTAGACAAATGTTCTTTAGTGATTTATGCACAATTTGCATAATTGAGTGATTATTGAACTGGATGATCAGTACCAGGAAACTGGTGAAGCATGTATGGAAATAAATGTGCTCATCAAACTTTAAAGTTGATACTTTTCTAAATGCTCTTAACCTTTTCTCCATCAGACTTTCTCGCCCAAATTTTTCTACACTTTTTATATTTTTCAATATTTCAGGAAATGAACCCTAATTTTGGAGCCAACTGACAAATTTTGAATCAATTTTCTCTTTTTACTCGAAAAATGTGTCCTTTTTTACCCAATCTTCTAAAGGAAAGTGCAGACTATAAATGGGACCATTTTGTGAATTGGTGATAAGAGAGAACCAGTGATGAAAAGGTTAACTATGCAAAAATGTATCTTTGGTGGGAAAGAAAGTGGCAACTATGTCACACTCTTATCTAAAACGTATTTTCTTGGAATATTTGCATTTTACATGAAAAGGATAGAATAAATTTGGCAATGCGGTAGGGTGAGATGAAAAGAAAGGTTATGTGGTGGCAAAACAATTTGCATATTTCTAAGCTTAAAGCGCTAATGTTCAAACAATGTGTTGTACGTAAGTTGTACAAGTAGCTGTGTGTCCCATATAGAACACAATGCAATGCTTTAAGGTAAATGCAACTAACAAGGATTCATTCTATTTGCAATATAAGGATATCGACTTTTGAAAAGTTGAAAGTCACCAACCTAATTTTCAAGAAAATGTTTATATTTAGTGGATTTTCAAAAAATAAAAAAATGTTAATATTGTGTTCTTTGGAATTGTTCTAAAAATAGTGATTTTTGAAAATATTAATTAAGATAGGTTTTTCAGAATACATCACTGCAACACACAACAAAATGCTATTTTATGGTGTCATGGCACAACAGCTCCATGGTTTTACATAATAAATCGCTGAAAATTGTCATGTGATTTATGACCAACTTTCTCAAAAGTTGCGAGTAGGCTTTTTCCTACCTTAATGGCGATTTTAATGATTCACTCGCATCATTTAGCAAAACGCCCTCTATGTTGAGAAAACTTTTCTGGTTCGTTTTTATGCTGTCCGCTTTGCATGTGTCTTGTAATTGTGGTGATAGTGACGTTTCACAGAAAGACTACAGATTGTGTCAAAATGAAATGTGTACAGGGTGTGTATATACATGCAGTTGATGGTCTATTCAACTTTTTCGCTAAATTTAAGGGTTTGACCAAGTCTACACAATCCCCAAAAATATATAGGATCAAATCTAACTCATACTGCAACGTTCACATATCGATACGTCTGTGGGATTTGATGTGAGGTGCGAGCGGAGAACGATAGAGGGGTTTAGAGTAACCCGAACAGGATAGATCATTTCGTGAGGAAATTATTTCATCATGAGCAGATTATGAAATATGGGACCATTCGTGCAAACAGCTGTGCAATAGTTGTGCAACAGACGTGGTGTTAGCAACCAGATACCGAGGTAGTAATTAGTCCACGCGACTGTTTGTCCGTAGTTATCAATAGAATATCGATCGAACGAGGTGGTATAGTGGTCATGGGTTCATTCACCCTCGTTGACATGACAATGACATATTTTGTCAGAGGTCGTGTACCGGTGCTGCATGTCTCCAAATCTGGTACAAGCATCAAAAGAACGCCTTCCTTTATTCAGCCATCGACTTCATATTATTTCCATCTCTGTTAACACATCAATATGGGACCCATTCTAACGCAGATCTTTGCATTGTTCGCTAAGTAAGGCCTCTATTCACCAACCACAGTACATGGCGTTGTACATTTGTAAGTCAATAGTTTAATCACCATTTTACAATTGTTTCGCTAACTATTGCCGGATGAAATCAGCTAGAAATTACATACAAACTCCCTTACAAACTTCTTACTTTCCATTGATCGTTTGCCAATATTATACGAAATTTTGCTCGCTGCTTCATAACGGCGAGGTTGCTATATGTAGGTGATACCGCGTGATACTGGAATTTGTCACGTGACTCAAAAACATGAAAGAACCGTAGAACGATTGCGAAAAATAACTGCCCAGTAACAACTACAGTCAAACACTGCCATGGCACCTCTGAGCACGATTCAAATTAACAATCTATCACGGATAGAAGTGTTTTTATACCAACCTTATCAATTGAAAATATTTCAACATGAGGGTTATCTAATTTATGTTTGAATCATAGCACTCATATCCTTCGCGCGTTGAATTTATTGCATTCACATACAAATATAATCAAGACTACATACTGAAATTGTATTAGAGTATTCTTAAAGCTAAATACCTCCTTAGACTCGCATGTTGTAAACTTACATAAGTTGTTTCTTACCACTTACTAGTATTTGATGCCACCGTGACGTAATTCCACGAAAAACCTTTTCCCAATTAATGTAAGACTGCAATATTTGATTGTTGTGGTGATGACAATTCTACGGACATCGAGACAGCCGGAAAGAGGGGGGGGGGGGGTGAAACATGTCGCAACTTGTCTATCAAATATATTTTATCTAATTGTGAAATGAGTACAGACTGAACTCAATTAACTAAATAAAAGTGTTTTCGAGACTATTAAAATATCCATTCAGCGATTTATTTGTTTTCTGTGTTTTTTGTTAAACAATATACTATGTTAGTCTTTATTTGATGAATACCAGTCGTACAATCGATAGACTTGGACATTTTTTTTAATTAGTGCCTGCTTTATTCAAGATTCAACACAAAACTAGTGTTGTGGACACTGATTAAACGTAGTTTTATTCTTGGTACACGAGGATGCACTTGGTTACAGCAAAGTGTTGAGTTTGTGAAATGGAAAATATGATCTCAAAACGACACTAAAACAGAATATCGTGTTTTAGTTCTCATCATAGAATTGTACTTTAGTTTAGGGATTTCCGTGCCATGCATGTGTCTATATTCTCCCGTAGTCACACACAACTTGAACACTATTATGATGACGACGATTCAGGACTAACATTATAGCTATTAGACAAAAACAAATCCCCCGTAGCTGCGAACATAACTCTTGTTACGACTGCACGTCGGAATGGATCCGATTACTCGTGTAACGGGAGAATTTGACAGGATATTCAACATTTATTTCGCCTTCATCCAACGTGACTCACGCTGCTACTTGACGTGCTCACCACTATACCCCGGGGACTTGTACACCTACCTACCCTGTATCCTATTTACATGTACTATATTCGCCCACCATACTTTACACGCTTAAAACTTGTACAGAAACTTGTTCACATAAATCCCTTTCTGGTATTTAGACACGATAATTTCTGTGTTATTGGGCGAACTAGTATGATTTCTTTGCATATATTTGCCATGTTAATATGCTACACGTGTTCAACCAATACTTTGAAGCACGGTCCTTCTCAGGAAGTGTGGTTGAAAACTTGACGGTTTCTCTAGACAGCAAATGTATCCGTGGCTGGTCAC